TTAAGATAAATACTAGAGGAAAACAATGATTTTCCTTGATATATGAAAACAATTCTGTTTTCTCTAGAGATGGGAGCTCTTGTTTTTTTAAAAAAAAACCAAAAAACAACCAAATCTAACAAACAAAATTCCTCCTCCAAAAAAAACCCACAAAAAACAAAAAACCAAAAACCAAAAACAAGACACCAAAAAACCAAAACAAACCCAAAACCAACAAACAAAACCCAATTCCCCCATTAAAAAAACACCCCCACATTTCAGATCTTGGTCCAGATTTCCATGGAGAAATGATTAAATATTTTTTTCTCAGATTGTAAGCAGATTTAGTAAGTACAGATACAGCTTTTGCTGCTCAATATAGCATCTTCCCTACAAATTTCATTGCTGGACAGAGTTGTTTCAGTTTGGTCTGCTGCTGCCTTCTGCAGTTTCAGTACACACTTGTGCTTTGGCTGTAGCTTCCCATACTATGGTACTCTTTCCATAAGTTCTGTGTATTCATTGAAGTGTGTCACAGATTTTTTTAAACTGAATAATCACCTTGACTAAAATCTAAGAGACAGCCTGCTGGGGATACAAAATACTTTGACAGCTGTTTTTCTGATGTTTAACATTGCCCAGAACAGTATCCTGCCCTTCAGAAACCCAGGTAAAGTCTTTCTGATTCCTTTGGTTCACTATTTATCAGGGAACAGTGGGTTTGCCTGCCTGGGTGGAGTATTCATTAGAGTTTGTAAAGCTTGCTTTGTTTTAGGTACGTGTGTTAGTGTAAGTCATATCTCTTAAGAATGTGATTTTTGGCAGTGTTTGATACTGGCAAGAGCCCTAATGTGATACAGAACTGGCAGGAATGCTTTTGCTGGTATGGAATATACTCAGAGGCCTGGAATCAGTAAAAACAGCCAGAACTGCTTTTGCCAGCATTACTATATTTTTAATCATTTTCTAGCATAGACCTGTCAGAAGACCTGTTTTCACTCCCATGCTTCTCTTGGTTATTAATTGTTATTTTATTGGGAGGAATGTCCAAGCTGCTACCTCATGTGTAAATATCTTTGGCCTGAATATTTTCTGCCAAGGAAGTTTTTCTACCATTTGTGGAAAGGGGCAGGGAAAGAATAATATATTTGACCATGTCTGAGTGGATTCTTTACATCCAGAATGTCCTGACATTGAACCTTTTTCTCCTCTCCCAGATGCAATCATAAATCATAGTGTAGTGACCACAGCTAATTTGTGCTGGAAATAATTATAGAGGTAACTGTCACGTAGCCTACAGTTAATGGTGTCCCTCTTCTAATGTCTTGATGGGCAAGGAGTTTGTATTTGTTTTCTCGTGAGCTTCAGCAACAAATGAAACAAATGGGATGAGAACAACACACGATGTGCAGCGAGGCCTTGGTGTTTCCCACTCTTCTGATAAGAACTGCAGCAAACACACGCAGACCCAGGAGTATACACTACCTTCTCCCCAGCTATTCCATCTGCTGCAAGCAAACAAAATATGTTTACACACCGAACCTAAGTGTGCCCTTTGACCCTACAGTCGTTGCTAGGTTTAGCCATCAAAATATGCAGTTATTTAAATACAAAATCAGTGAAGGGGAAAGCACATACTGTAATCAGACCAGAAGTGAAGGGACGGCTGCCACTTCCCGTGGTATGTTATGTTACTTCAAGCCAGCATGTGATTGTTTATGCTCCCAAACATTCCAGAATCCTGCCACCACTACCAGTAAGGTTGGAAAAGCTAAAGGATGTGGCCTGGTGGCATTCACCCACCTCCAAAGTGAGGTTAAGAATGCTGTGGTGTTGCTTCTGCCCTGCAGTGGGCAGCTGCTGGAGACCAGCTCTACTGCAGCTCTATTGCTGCACGTTTTCTGGGCTTAGAGGGACTGACCCACCGTGTCTGGATTTCATACTTATGCATGTCCTCCCAGCTTCCAGACTTCTCATCTTGGAATTATCCTCATTCATTCCTCTTCTGTTCCAAGAGATTTCTCCCAAAATTCCACTGATTTCAGTGACAGAAATATATCTGAGAAGCGGCAAAACTTAACAAACAGAACAAAAAAAGAAAAACAAACTCAAAAACAAAACAACAGAAAACAAACAAAAACCCCAACAAAACAAAACAAAACCAAAATAACAAGAACAACAAAAATCGACAGGTGAACCTGTCAGCATCTGCCATTGGTTTTGTCTGTGTGTACAGCATGCATGCACAACCAGTGCAGTTAATTAAACCCATGAAAGTGCTTATTAACTGTCCACATATTATTTAGCATTCCTAAGGCCTAAGAATCTAAATCTCCTTCGGGAAGACTTTGCTCTGAAAACAAGTTAAACTGCAGTGTCTCATGAAAGGATGTTCAAAAAAAAAAGCTGTTGCAGAGTCTGGGTTTCTGAGGATTCTGGAAATGAAAGCTGACTGGTCAGAACTGTTTCTGGAGTAGTAGCAGAATATGCAATATTGTCTTTTAAATATCTGGTTTAGATGCCTTCAAGGTAAGCTTTATTATGCAACAAGATCGAAGTGGCAGACTTTAATGAATATGTGGGAACTAATAAATGGTCAGCCTTGTAGGGAAAACCCAGGTAGACTATGTTAATACTTGGGCCCTTTTGTAGTTAGGAGTTTTCCAGTGCCTGAAGGGATGCTACAAGAAAGCTGAAGAGGGACTTTTTAAAGGAGCATGTAGGGATAGGATAAGAGAAAATGGCTTTAGATTGAAAGAGAGCAAGTTTAGATTAGATATTAGGAAGAAATTCCATGCTGAGAGGGCGGTGAGGCACTGGAACAGGCTGCCCAGAATAGTTGTGGATGTCCCATCCCTGGAAGTATTCAAGGACAGGTTGGTTGGGACTTTGAGCAACCTGATCTAGTGCAAGATGTCCAGCCCAAATACTTTTAAGATTCTAGAGTTTTATGAGACCCAGAGATAACTCAAATCTTGTAGATGCTTTATGTGAGTCACCAGGGTCCCAGATGCACCTTTATGGGTTCTAAACTAATTTTCTACCTGAGAAACAGCTGGTAGGGATCCTATTTTAATTGAGTTTTGATTCATCCCTATAAAAAGGGGTGTTAAAAATCATCAGCCTAAACTTAAAGTTTTTCTACCTAAGGTAAAATATCACTAATATTTTAAAAAATTATTCTTTATTCAGAAGAATGGATTGTTAAAAGCATCCTCTGAAAATACTTCTATTTGTAATCAACATTTCTTTTATGAAATAATGGTCCATTCAGAGAAATGAAGCCTAGGAAAGGTACCTTACCTAAACAGAAATTTTAAAGAGTAGTCTGAGATAGCAGAGAAGAGGTTGAAATTTAGAGTTTAGGTCACCAAAATGTTAATTTATTATTAGATTATATTAGTATGACAGTGAGTTTCAACTGATTTGGCTTGTCATTGTCATTAGTATTAGACTAATGATATGCATGATAGAAAATACCTCAAGAAAACTCCAAAAACCCAGAAAATAAAACACATACCATTAATTAAATACTTGCTTTGTTAGTAGCTCTGGGTAAGCCACTAAATATCACTGGAAATTTTTCCCTTCTCCTCCTGGTGTCTGACAGAGCTTATCTGTCCTACATTTTCTATTTTCCTACATTTTCAGATCTTGGTTTTTCAAACTATGCCATTAGAGAAGCAGTGGTAGTAGATATCACCTAATTTTTCTGGCAGTACTGGCACAGTATGAATAACCATGCTATATTACTCTAACATCCTACTTCTGACAGTAGGATAAAGCTCAAAAATCTATCCGGTTGCTTAAGTCATTTGGAGATGAGGCATCCCCTTTTTCCATCTTTGTCACATGTGATGAGGTGGGAAAGGCTGTTTTCTGCATTGGGAGAGAAAGTGTCAGTGCTCTGAATGGTGCTGTAATGGATTGAACATTTAGTTGAAATAATTAGCCATTTCGACTTCTTTTTTTTTCAGGATGAAACTATTTGCTGAGTTTCACCCTACTTTTCTGTAAGATCAAACAAAACCACTTATTTTGTCAGGTTGCTTATTCGGTGGAAATTGCCCACCAATTAACACTATTCATGAACAACCAGGATTCTGCCTTTCTCGTTTTTTTTTTTTTAATCCTGTCTGAGTTGTACTTTAACTTTCTGGATGCAGGTTTAGCAAGCCTGTGAAACCTCTTTCCATGAAATGGGGAGTTTCAGTTGTAAGTCCTAAGTGTCATAAAACCACAGGTAGCAGATAAAAACCGGATAGGCAAATCATCCCTTCTCCAAGTCCCTGTGACATTCCTGGCACGTTTTTTCTTATCTGTCTGTTCCTGTAACCTTTGTCCTTCTGAACTTTATTCTACAAAATTCGTAAATCACTGAAAGAAACCCATGTGCAATATAGCATATGGGAAAATTTGCTATTTCCTAAAGGATATGGGGCTAAAAAAAAACATTTTCCTCCTTACCCTGCCAAATGTCTCTGTATTCCCTCCTCTGTAGATATGCCAGGCCACTGCCACCCCTCCTTCACTTGCTTCCTTATATCCAGTTGTCTGATTCTCTCACATACACAGAGATGCCTAAACCGGTCATACAGGTTCAAGCAATTTCAGTCACTGTATTCATGCCAGTAAATCTAATTATTTCTAACTTGACCTTAATCAGAAGGCCACTCTGAACCCCTCCCAGCAATTCAGTATATCTGCAACATGGGCTGTGGAAGTAGAAAACCCTCAGTCTGTTCCAGTGGCACACAAGGAGCACATGCGTCCTCCTTCTCCTCTGCATATCTCTCTCTCCCCTAAGGTGAAACTTCCACACCACCTCCCCTGGTTTCAGGTGTAATCATAAACCAGCTCAAGGCAATTATGGGTAATGTAGTCCCATGGTTCACGCCTGTCAGTTTGAGCAAGCGGTGCCAGGTTCCTGCTAGACTGCACATTCCAGCAGGCATTGCTCAGCACTTCCCAGAGGGAGGCTCACCAGGTGTGCTCCAGCACCACCTGAACCCTGAGCACGCGAGTCTTTCAAAGCCAGAGCAGGAATAAGTGCTCTTTCAACAGTACTGATGTCTTGAACAAAAACTTAACTTGGATCTAGGAAAAAGCTCTTAGTTTTCAGAATGGTGAGTTTGCTTTTTTTTCTTTCAAGTATTTTTTGCTGATTATGTTTAAAATACATTGGAGGATCTGAAATATCAGAGTAATTTTTTGCCTAATATTATTGCATCAGTCCAATATTATCTTTTGGTCATTGCTAATTCCAGGTGCTACTGGGGAAGGTGCAGAATTTATGTACATTTTGAATTGCATGATATGGTACCCTAGGGTGATTTGGGATGTGTGGAGAAAGGCGCTTGCAAAGTTCTGGTGATTGCCAGAATATAAATAATGGTGAAGCTCCTAAAATTTTTAATCAGTCTTAAGCTTTCCTTCTCTGTCTGTTTACTTCTGTGAAATCAGCTGCTGTACATATGTGTGTGTGCATGTGCACATGCACCTCTGTGGGGTTTGGGTTTTTTGCTGGCTGATTGGTTGGTCTGGTTTTATTGAAGCACTATAAGAACTAAAACAGTTCACACATGCAGCTGTTGGGTTGGCCTCTGGCTTTGTGAGTTGGACATCAGAATGGTGAACACCCCCTAACAATCCTCCCTGCGAACAAGACAGACATTAGAAGTCAGAAAAAGAGTGTTTAAAGAGTACATGTACTCCTGAACACTAAAATTTTCATTCTCTATTAAAAGAATCCTTGAAAGGTAATACCTACAGCCTAAATGGAGGCAAGACCTATCATGCTGACATACCTTGAACCAACTCCCTTAATGGCTAAAAAATAACAAGCAGAGCTGGCCAGTCTGTTTAAAAAGAGAAAGATTTAAGTGAAAGACAAAAAAGGAAACAGTTCTTGTTATTTTCCTACCCGTTATTATCACTCAGCTAATACCTCCTTTTTTTTCCATACGGATGTATTTTTTAATATCAAAATTTTGACAGCTTGGGAGTAGGTTTTTACTGGCATTATAATGAAAGGGAAATAGGTGTCCTTCTGAGTAAGTGATACAGGGAGAGAAGAAGTGAAGGAATTATTAGTATTGAGTAGATCTTGGTAGATGCAAATTGACACACTGGCAGCACTTTCCCTGACCTAAAACCATGTCTTTGACAGTAGTGAATATAAAAGGCTCTGACACTGAACTTATACACTGAAAACAGTTGCAGAACGTCTGTGGTGGGTGGGACATACACAATGGGATTAACAACACAAGTTCAAGCTGGTTATTGACGTGTTAGAATCCAGAGAATGATGTTTGCCTTGGGAACATTCAAAACAAGGAATACCTACATTTGTATTCACTACACTACGTAGTACAACAATATCCCGTGGGAGTGTGTTCAACAGGCTAATTACATAGAGTCGTAGAATCAAAGAATTGTTTAGGTTGGAAAAGACCCCTAAGAACATAAAGTCCAGCCATTACCCCATCACTGCCACGTCGGCCACTAAACCATGTCCCTGAGAGCCACACCTACACATCTTTTAAATTCCTCCAGGGATGGTGACTCCACCACTTCTCTGGCCAGCCTGTTCCAAGGCTTGAGAACGCTTTTGGTGAAGAATGTTTTCATAATATCCAATCTAAATGTTACCTGACACAACTTGAGGCCATTTTCTTTTGCCTTATTGCTTGTTAGCTGGGAAAAGACTGACCCCACTTCACTACAGCCTCCTTTTCAAGTAGTTGGAGAGAGCAATAAGGTCCCCCTTGAGCCTCCTTTTCTCCAGCCTAAATAAACCCAGTTGCCTCAGCTGTTCCCCAAAATACTTGTGTTGTACACCCTTCAGCTTTTTTGCCCTTCTTTGGACTTGCCACAGCAATATGTTGTAATAGAAGGTTTATTTGGCATTTTAATACTTGTTTTAAGTTTTTGTGCTGTCTCACTTCCTTGTCTTTCTCCTGTTATTATGAGAATGGCTAATTGCATTCAATTGCCCACTTCTTTGTTATTTAATGTTTTTGTAACTCTTTATCATAGAGATTTCCCCCTTTGGCCCAGGAATATTTTTGTTTGTTAGACTATCTGTGAGAGATTTCTCTGAGTGGTATCCAAGAAAAAAAACAAAACCTTTGAAGCTCACTGTCTCTGAATTTGGATGCCATTCCTCTTTATTTTTCAAAATAGATAAACTCAAGATCCTTGAGAAACTACATGTGTTCAACCTACTGTAAACTTTGGCACAAGTCCCTGCAGGGAAGTCCACCCTCGAAATATGGATACAAATATGTGGAACAAACACCAAAACCCAATACAGTGCAAAAATATAAATCACACTGCTGTAAAAGTCAAAAGACTGGCTTTTGTTGGGCAGAACAGCCAATTAGTCAACCTAATCTGATGATCTCTTGAGGATGTCCTCCAGTCTGAAGAGCTGAACTCTGAAGTAGTGGCAGCTGTAGTTCATCATATTTCTGCACCACAAACACGGTGCATACTTGTAATAAAATTTGTTAAACAATAAGCAAAATTCTGTCTGGAACTATAGGCTCTTCTATCACTTCTCTTACTGCACAGAATTGTAATTTACTTCACAGATCCCACAATGGGAAATAAAACATGATTTGGAAAGATAAAAAAAGGTATTTGAAGATCATTCCTTTCATGATGTCCCATATACTCCTGCTATCCCCAAATGTTTTGTCTAATTTTACCCTAGATCTTCTTAACTTCTATGGAAGCCTTTTCTTCTCATCTCTGGCCCTTTTTCTGCAATTATTTTCAGTTCATCTCCGTCAAGTCTGTAATTTCAGGAGAAAATAGGTGTTTTTTTTTCAGAAACTGAATTCCAGAGTTAAGGTGATATTATATACTAATGGAAAACATGCACTTCAATTAGCCCTTCAATATTTTATCTTTTCATCTGCTTCTCAGTACAGATGAGTATCCCATTTGCATTTCTTCACATCCTTTTTAAACTGCTGAAGGTTATGCTTAGGCTTTTCCTAAGAAATTTCAACTAAATTAGAAATAAAAGTTTATGAGTTATTTCAAATTGTTCCTTTGAGACCACCTCTTCTTACCTACAACAAACCTAATCTCATGCTGTCTGATTTATTAAGCTTTCCAGTAGTACTTCATAGTCTGTTAACAGCCTCAGTAATTTCGGTTTGTGAGCAAACACAGTCAAATCACTCTCCACTGACTTTCCACCCTCCAGAATTTCCTCAAATTGCCTATTGTGTACACTTTGATTGTGTACGTGGAGTCACTGCCATACATTCCTACTGAGGAACAGTGGTGAAGCTAAATCAGGGCTTTGAAACACTGAAAGCATCAGAAAGTGGAAACAATTGTATAGCTTGTGGCAAGGGAGGTTTTGGGCTCTGGTTTGGTGTCCTTTTGGTGATGAGAAAAAGTTTTTCGGTTTGGAGGTACATGAAATTTTATAGGAGGAACATACCGATTAATTACTGTAAGAGAAGGAGTCCTTTTCTTGTGCAGCTGAACTTCACCTTTTAAGCCAGTCTGATCAAGGAGAAGAAGGCTGACTATATAGCTGAAAACTGTATCATATGGTGCTTTTCCCTTGCTGTGTGAGTGGTTCTGCAGCTGAAATTCTCTGGAATCCCACAGCCCAGACGAGAAAATTGAGGCCTTATGTTCGGGTATGTATTTACAAAATACTTTAGATGACAATTATTTGAGTCCAAAATGTAAAGAATAGACTATGTTGCCATTTTCTTCAGCTTTCTCAATAGAGAAAGGATCTTTTCAAATTATTGAAGGAAGTCTACCTTCACTGGACACTTAAAGTACTTACAAATCTTTGCATTCTTTGCTGCACACCTGTGAGATGGAAAGCTGGCACTTTAGTTTGGGCAACTCCTTGAGCTCCATTTAAGCTCGGTAATGGCTGTGTGCTGTAGGATGGGGTAGTCCCTTTCCCATTGCTTCCTGCAGGCCAGCACAGGAGAACACTGAGTCATTGTGCCTGGACCAGCTGCTGGTGAGCCCAGATAAGCACCAATGTTGATGCAAAGGAGATGCAGGACTGCTGTTTTCTGGGGCAGCCAGACAGCCAGCCACCAGTCAGATGGCATCCCCAATTCCAGGCATAGCCTCAAGCACAATGCCACATGATCTCATTTCTTTTCTAATACTTTGAAGACTTGGGAGAGCTGACCCTTCTTCTATTCCAGGCTTGCTCTGAACTAATTCTTTAATCTCTTTCTCTCTCCATGGAGGCATATAATATTTCCCTGCATTAAATGAGAGTTCACAAGTATTTAAATTGATTAAAATTATTCCAAAGCATATTGGTTTATACTTTAATCTGCGCTGACCTCTAGTTAGATTTAATGATATTATTTAAGGTTTCATCTTTACCTACTAATAACTGCCAACAGCCTTGCTTGTCCATTGTGCCAGTCATCCTGTGATCATGCCAAAGGAAGCAGCTCCTTTCCCCTGGCTGAACAAGCTGTATCACAAAGCATTCATGTAACAACTTGACAAGGACTTGTTCAAGCTCTCACCTTGAGCCTATGTCTGTAAAAAATCCCAAAAGTTTCATGAGAGAATGCAAAGCTTGTGACCCATCAGTAACAAATCCTAAAGCCTAATTTCTGTCCTGTGATCCTAAATGGGACCAAAATTTGGATACGTATTTACATTGAGAATAAACTGTTTTTCTACATGCACTAAGCTGCATAATTAAAAGGAAATGACATTGTCTGAAATAATTTGGGGGAGGGACAACTGACGAGACTTTGAAGTGGTTTGTTTATATTCATGCATGATCTCATGCAAGACCTCTGAGCCCTGGAGAAAAGGCTGTGATGTGATGATAACCTTCTTGGGTTCGTTCTGGTCCACCAGCTTTAGTAGGATCTTTGTAAAGGTGGGAGGGGTGGGGCACAGCAGAGAGACAAGAAATAGCAATTTATTCATAGGCTGCCCTAATTCCTGTAGCACCAATTGTTACCTGATGCTCTCTGTGAAATTATAGTGTCTCAAGCATGAGTAGTGTCAGATTGTTCTGCTCAGGGACTTTTTCTTTTCTTTTCTTTTCTTTTCTTTTCTTTTCTTTTCTTTTCTTTTCTTTTCTTTTCTTTTCTTTTCTTTT